AGAATTTAAGAAGAGCAAACGCATATACTTTAGTTAATTCTGAGATATTTAATAAGAGAGCTGAAACTTCGAAATTGCTTTACCTGCCTGAGTTAAGCCGCTCTTCATCTGCGCGCAGATTATCCTATATCAACCTTACGGGAAATCCGTGGATTGGTGGGCTTATGGTGTATTGCTTTACGAGATGTTAGTGGGTCAGCCACCGTTCGACGGTGAGGACGAGGATGAACTTTTCTCCGCAATTACGGATCACAATGTCAGCTATCCGAAGAGTCTATCCAAAGAGGCCAAAGAAGTTTGTAAAGCGGTAAGCATATCTTCTCTAATACCTATGACTTTTACAATCTCCTGGAATTTAAACAAGTTCAGACATTTATGTAGAATTTTTTGAAATCTATTTAAATATTCTAAAGATTGATTTTTTTTTAATACGAAATATTGAAGAAAATTAGCGCGGTTTTTTTATTTTAAATATTTTAAATAATTAAATGAAATATGTGTTCGCATATTTTAATGTAAATTTCATGAAGTTCTGAAAGTAGTTAATAATAAAAGTTTCCAACAAATATGAAATTTGTTGTGCAGTTTCTCACGAAAAATCCGAGTAAGAGACTAGGATGCGGTGCGCGCGGCGAGGATGACGTACGAAGCCACGCGTTCTTCCGACGTATCGACTGGGAGAAGATAGAGAATCGCGAAGTGCAGCCACCTTTCAAACCAAAGATTGTAAGACAAAGATTGACCTATTTTTGCGAATGTTTTTATCCCGAAAAACGTATCTTGTTAATAACGACTGTTTCCTGTTTCGTGCATTTATTAGCAACATCGTAAGGATGTGAGTAATTTTGACAAGCAGTTTACTTCGGAGAAGACGGACTTGACTCCCACGGATAAGCTGTTCATGATGAATTTGGACCAGACGGAGTTTATGGGTTTCTCCTACTTAAATCCGGAGTTTGTGCAACACGTTTAAGCGAATACTTCTTCTCAGGCTCGTATACATCCTTCACTTCATTCCTCGTTGTTCATCTTCCTCTTCGTCACTCAGGGCTCTCTCATCCTCCTCTTTCGCTCTCTATCTATTCCTCTCTCTATTTTTCTCTCGCTCTATCTCTCTATCTCTGAATCTCACTGTAACATTCTCGTGGTAAAAATGAGCGAGAATCTAGGACGCGATCGTTTTCGAATCTCATGAAGAATTCACGCGATAATCTTCGACTTATAAGTAATCGCGCGATAATCGCGTATTGTATTACTACGCTGTAAGTAGGATAAAAAAAGAGAAAGAAATACGGCGTAGGTGATAAGGATTCGTCAAATGAACTTGCGACAATTGCCGCGAAGAAAGGACGAAGTTGACGGACGGAGAAATATAAATAACGCGCAGGGGAAAAAACGCTTTTCCCGTGAAAAGAAAAAGAATGAAGAGCGGCGCGATCGGCGGGAGGAAAGTTTCAAAATCGATGTCTTCGTTCTCTGCGTATATTATTATGCATTTACTTCAGTAGTTTCTCTACTGTCGCCTTCCAGAGTATATATAATATATATATTGGACGAATGAATGAATATATGATTATATATACATATACATAATATATATACATATAGTCATTACGGCATATTAAATATATATATATATAAATAATATATATTATACATTATATAAATTTCTATCAATATTTCGTTAACGTTGCACTTCTCGTCGGTTTAATCTTCTTAAGTAGCGGATCTTTGGAGTCGGATCTTTAGATTTTCAGACCCACGACGAGTTAAGAAATTATTAGCGCTATGTCGATTCTCATATTGACATACACACATGATATACATATATGAATACGTTCACACATACACCCACAATCACACGAACAGGAGACATGATATTTTTTGCTTTTTTTCTTATTCGTTGCGGAAGCACGAGAGAGTCTGAAGTGTCTTTTCTAGTTTTTCTCCGTCGTCCTTCGATGGAAACGCGAAATCGATAAACTGATATACATTATATCAGTAAGTAATGACAGAACGTTCTGATGCGAGACGGGGATGCGCTGAGTAGATCGCGGCTTGATGTCGATAATAAATGAAGAAATCATTGTGTCGTATAACATAGAAACAGAGTCGTAACACAATAATCTCGCATTTATGCGGGGAGGATAAAGTCGACAATATAAACGGCGACGTGTGTGTAAAGTTTTAACCACTCTTCGCGCGATATTATTCAGCACTATAATACGTTTCATGTGAAAGGTAAGATATGCGAGAATATACAACTAACTTTTTGCGATTATGTAAAATTTCTTACTGTATGCGTGAACGGATTCTTTCTGATTTTACGTAATATATATATGTTATATGTATAAAAACATATATATATAATATATATTACGAAATTTCTTCCGGCAAGAGTTATTACGTATGTAAAGGGAACATTTAGGCGCAAAGATTTAATTTTACATTATCTGACAATCAGTAAATATCAAGGACAACGTCTTGGTTCACTTAGCGCTTTCCTCGCGCATCTTTGTAATTATATTGGTGCGCCTTCTCTCGCCGAGTCTTTCTGGTTTGTCTCGTCGAGAAGGGTACGATTTTAACGGAGACAGCTTAGGGAAACTTAGTACAAGCGTGTATATTAAAAGAAAAGGTATAATTCACGCCGATGTTTTCCTCTTTGATTCTCTGTTTTTTCAATGATTGTAGAACGCGTGTACGCATCTACGATCAGTAGTATGGTTAATAATTATTATTGATTAATACGCGTAATTATTATAGACGTAGTTTACGGGCTCGTCGACGCGAGCCTTTCCTTCGTTTTTATAAATCTGTTTATATTGGCAACTCGACGAGCTACTCTTCGAACTTGTTCGCACGATCCAACTACAATTAATGTAACGTAATTACGAATTACAAGGCTGCTAAAGTTACAAAAATACCAAAGTTTTCTCGTGCTTCGATGATCTGTAGCGACCAAATCGTCATATATATCTTCTTTGTTTGCTAAGTTTTTACAAAGTAAATTGAGAACAAGATGGTGAACATTAATAAGCCGCAATTGCTCGTCGAGTTGTGATATATGTAGAAAAATAAAGATTCAAGGATGAGCTCGTATCCTTTTCTTTATTTTATGTCGGTCTTCTCTTAGGTAATAAAATTTCAAGATTGTAGTCTCGGCTAAATGTTGTAATTTAATTATAATAGAATTGAAACTTACCGCATAATATTCTCGATATAGTCCGTGAAATTGTCGCTCACTAAATATTAAAATCTCTTTTAAATCTCAAAATCTTAAAATATTCACATTTCGTTGTAGCAAGGACATATTTTTATGGATGCTGTTAAAAGCATGATAAAAGGATACGAGTTCACGTTTCTTTACAATTCGAGAATATCGGTTATTATTGAGAGTGTTCCGATAATAAAAGATTTAATGTAACTCTCGTCCCCTTTTTCAGCGGACGATTCAATCTTGTTCTTTGATCGGGCGACTTCGCGCAGTCTCACCGCGAAATCACGTTCTCAATCTTGTGTTGGGCTGTCCGACGTAATTTCAAGGAATCGCGATTTACATGCTGCAAAAGAATTTTATTGTTTTCTCGTAGTGTATACATTGCTAATTATAATTTACGCGTTATTAGATATATAATTATATCATTATAAGTCAATGTGGTAGTTGATACACTAGCTCTCTGCATATGTCGTATTCTTCGCATTTGTTCACGTCTTCGGACATTATACGATTATACATTTCTCGCTTACCCACAATATTATATAACTTTAAGTAATATAATAAAAAATCTCTGCATCTCTGTTAAAATAAAGTTTACCATTCCACGTCCACGGCCACGAAAACCCGATACCGTTTTTGCGGATGGTACGACGATACTAGATCCCTTATTTCGTTAACGAGGATTTTGAATATCCTTGCAGAGGGCTGCGCGATCTGCGCCCGAAATCTATTTTTGTACTAAAAGAAATGAAACTCGAAAGGGGGAGGCTGTTACCTCTCTTTTTTCCTATGCGCGTTTATCTGATAGATCTTTCATCACAATTGTGGCAGCTCTTATAGCGCTCTTTAGTCTGTATACAGATGCAGGCGTTGTAAAAAGGCACATAAGAGTAGCTGGTAAATCGCAATCGCCGTAAGAAAGAAAGAATGCGTTATTAGAACGCCAACTTTTACAAGTGTCGAGCAAAAACACATTTCAAAAGTTTTTTTTATTAAAATTTCAATTTCTTGTGGCATGTTCTTATTTCTTCTATAATTTAATTTATATAATTGGGGCAGAATATATATATCGTTAGTGAGATTCGAAAAATAGGCTGTTATGAATAAGAATTTAACTTTAAACAGTACATTATTTTCAAATATTGTAAAGTCTTTATTTCAGAAATTGTGTTTATTTTTCTGCTATTGATTATTAAATTTGAACAAATGTTATTTTATTTCTCACCAGTTTTCTATCAATAAATAAATGTAAATTATTGTAACATAGCTTGTGTTTCTATTTTTATGTAAACACCAAAATTCTTTTGTACTGTTTAGAGTTAATTATGGAAGGCGCGATGCGTTTGCGTGAAAGATCGACACTCATTCTTGGCAATTCATTCTCACTTTTGCGTAACTGATCAGCGGCAAGGATTCGTTTGATGATAAACTATTTGAGAAGTAAATCTTTAATAAGGAATGTCAAATAAGTGACAGTGATTTTATAACAATTGTGCTGGTTTTTTTCTTAATAGAGACGTGGCGTAGTATTAGCTTTCATAGCAGAGCCGCGTCTCTATTGCCAATCTCTATCTGTCTCTCTCCCTTCCTTTCACTCACTTTTCCTTTGAGCTATCATTCTATCTCTATTTTCTGATCTCTCGTTCTAGGTGTTAACTTTGACCTTTTGGAAGGTAAGGGGTAGAGTACATTTTTATTGATACGATTTCTCAAGAATTGATACAGCGAATGCGCGCGATTGTCTGTCACGGTTCTGAACGAGAAAATCCAAAAAGAAAAAAACTGCGTGTCGAGTGTTTTTGAAGAGGAAAATTGAAAGTGGACTTGATAATAATCAAGGAAAAGACCAAGAATCAGATTTAGATATTTAATATAAATATTCACTTGCGCAGCATATTAATATCTTATTAAAATAATTTATGCAAGTTATTTTTCCTACTTGGGAAAATAAGAAACGTATGTTGAAAGCAAAACAAGATGTTTTCCTTTCAGAACCGCAAACTATGACGATATCTGTGTACGTAACGTATTCGTGGCGATATTAAGTTTCTATTTTGCGAAATGTAGCGCAAAAAGTGCTACTGCGTTTTATTATGAAGCAATAGAAAGATTTGTCTCATTAAAATTAATATTTATTAACCTTGTACGTATATTTATTTCTCCGTAAGAAAAAGGAATAAGTTTGTAAAAAATATTGAATCGATTAATTGATAGTCTCTCGAATTTAATTTAATGCTACAAATGCGTGCGTACTATGCGCGTAATCGCGGAGCGTAGTGGAGCAGTTGACTAATGCATTACACATTTAGTCCTTAAGTTAAACTAAAAATGTAGTAAACAAGAAGAAAAAAAAATAAGATTGAAGAATAGGAAATAGAGAAGTAGAATATACAAAGATAATCCTTATCGCGTAGTTCTATTTCATTCTACCATACTGTAATTAAATCTATCGTATTCTCTTGATTATCGTATATAATACACACGTATTTACACGTACACGCATATTTTTAAGATGTTTTGTGCATTTATAATGTCGTAATAAAAGTTCCGAATCTCTCTCGTGTCATGAGAAGATTTGTTAGAGTCCCTACGCCTTAACGCACGGCGATTTTTGTTTGTTGTAAGTAATTTGGAAAGATTTTGAGTAGAATATCCTCTCTTCGAATACTCACAGTACACTATTTGAAAAGATTTATGTATCGTATATTTTATTATTACTAATTCAAAATATGATATTGGGACATAAATCTCATTTTCTTGATTTATAAAAAAATTATACTTTGCAGTAATAGTTTTGGAAAATTGTGAACTTTGAAAAGACTTAAATATGCTGATTGTTAAAGGAAATTTTTAGGATGAATTATTTTTCTATCTTTGCTTTACTATACCTCTGTCGAGCTGGCCCCCCCACCTTGCACAAATGAAAAAACTAATAGCGCAAAGTTATAAGCTATTTATGAG